GCCCCTGATTACGTGATAAGGACACTCTTGGCTGGTTGAGATCAAAGCGGTGAGTGCGATCCAATCGGAACTGAGACCAATATCCTAAAATTAAACAATTACGGAGCTTTCCCGTGGAATTGTGCCTTGTCGAATAATCACTGCAAGAAACCTTACATTTTCCTTGATATCTGACAACTGCGTTCTAATCATGAGAATCGTGAAATGAACATCATATTATAATGTATGCATCGTTTTCCGACACGTAGCTGTACATATACAAATATGGGCAGGTAATCAGCAGCGCCACTATAAGAAGTCCCGTCTGTGTACGAGTGCATCGACTGTGTGGTTTCCGAAACTCCGCCGAGCTCTGTCAAGTTCCCTGTTCTACAATTGTTTCTTTACACTGGATTCACACTTGTTAAGGTGCATCTCATAAAACACACTTTTTGTAAGTATTCATATGTATTTAAAAGTATTATTGCCAGTGCATAGACTGCATTCAGTTTTTTCAGCGATTTATTGTGGAGCACGGGGCTTCATATTTTCACGAATGAAGTCGTCAGTCATGATACCCGGTGGGTGGAATTTGCTTGTCTTTTCGCTGTCAAGTTTATTTACCTGGGTGTTTATTTTAGATAGTGCGCTTATCAATATCGTAATGCGATTTTTTCTTGTTTAGTTGGCGCTCGATGAATTATCAATTGTACGCTAGAAGTTAACTTTGTTTAGAAATGGAATTGGATGTTTTATTTTAAGCCAAAATTGTTCAAATTCCTGTCAAAAACGGAACCGGACGCTTCATCCGGATTAGATAAACAATGTTAAATTCTGTTAATGTCTGTTCATGCTGACGTTCAATTAGTAGTATATGTCATATAATCGTTTAAGTGCGACATTCACCAGACACATCCACCGATGCTAGATTGTCATTTGCGTGAAGGTGCACAACGCTTCGTTGTAGAACTACATTATAAATATGTCTGTAAGTGTAGTTAAAATTAAGATTTGTTTGTATATCACAAATATCATACATTTGTATTACTTGTTTGTTACATTTGTTTTGAATCGATGTAAAATAAGTTGTGATCTGGTCAAGATCAAATGCCAAATTTATGGACGCAAGACGAACAGCATGACGTGGCATGGGGCATGTTGATATGGTCGTAAATGATACCGTCAGATGCGCTTGCTTCTTCGGTGGACGTTATTACCTTTCATCGACGAAAATCCATTACATGTCTCAGCCCATCCGTGGTCATCACTTTGATGAAGAGAGAAAAAATGTCAGATTGTTTGAGGTTACATTTGATATTTTTTGAGGTTTTCTTCGAAATGCATGACATTAAAAAAGTTACCGCCGGGAAATGTCATTTGGAAACATCGGCTCAATCCATCTTTAACAGATTGAAATGTTTCAGGCCAATCAACTAATATCTACGGTAAATGAACAGAAATTCGTAATTTGCTTAAAAATCAAAACCATCATAAGCAGTAAGAACAAAACATAAGAAATGTATTGGAAAGTGATTGCTATGCTGAGTGTTATGAGGCTCGTTCGAATCTTTTTTTTTTTTTTTTAGATTCACCATGAATGCAAATTGAGTTTAAATTGTTATATTAACGCGCCGTCAACGCGTAATAGGTGCCAGGACGTACACTAATGATAGTACGCGGTCTTCCAAGCACCGTGACAATTTTACCCATCGCTGATTTCGGAATCATTTAATGATACATCTGTGATTTGATTGCATATAAACAATACTACCAGTAATATAATTTTGGATGATTTTCCAAGCTTTGAACACGAAACTTCATGTTTGTGACAAGTGATATGAACGAACTTTTTGTTGTTGTTATTCACTGTTTTGAAACGTGCTGTTTCAAATCCAGCAGTATTAGCCCGTGTTAATCGGTGTACAATTGACTTATATTGCAGTTATTGGAATCACATTGGGAATACATACAGCCTCTAGTAATCCTATCCCAATGGAGGAATATCCGTCCACTTCGTCTAACTGTGATATCTGGAAATCAACGAATGTCATTCACTTATCACAAGAAGTACCACGGTCAAGTTCATGCATGGATTGGAATACAGGTTACCCGTCCATTGAGTACGAATCCTTGCCTAATATATTCACCTTGACTTCATACTCGCCTTCATACAAGTAAGTTCATGCTCGAAAAATGTTCGCGGCGTGGCCCCTTCAAAAATCAAGCTGACACCTTTTTTGTCAGCAAAATGTGCCCCTCAAAATGCAGGAAATAGCATTTCAGAGGGTCTAGATTTCAACATTGTTCCGGGATCATGCTCCTGCAACCCCTAGTAAGGTCTCCCGTTTGGTGCAAGGGATAGTGAGCAGATCTCGCCCCCCCCCCCAATGCAAAACTTTCTGACTATGTTATGAAAATTCTCGTGTTCAACTAAAAACTTTCTCGTAAAGTTTTAATTATTATGCAAAATCATTCAGCACTCTTCAAATAAGTTTACTAAAAAAACACGCAATACCCGCATCGCCAGATAAATACGCATGCATATATTTAAAATCGATACTGAACTGTGTGTGATTTGTAAAAAATAGTACAATTTTTATAATAGTGTGTATAATTAATTGTAAATAATAATTAATTGTAATTAATTAATATCAAATAGCCAATTTCCTAGAGATATGTTAAACCACGGAGCTTTAATGGGTGACATACACACACGTTTAGTTGGCGGGTACGCGAAGGACAGCGCCAAGTGTTGTCAGTCGCATGTTTGACTTGAAATGTAATAGCGTGAGTTTTTATCAATACAAAAATGAATCACCCTCCCGTATTCCAGCGCACGCCACGCTTTAACATGTTTGGTCTTTTCGAATAGAACGCACAATGATGTATGATATTAGAAAAGACGCTCCTGGTATTTGTTTAAAATAACAATGATATGTACAACGATGTCAGATTTCATTCCGGCAACATTTGACGCATGCTGTTTTCAGTTCATTGTTACATGTTTCCATGAAAGTCTACACGTGTTTCAATTGAACAAGGGCGTTAACGCTGCTGTGTGGTGATTGGAATGAGATGGCGTTCGCGTGATAGAATCATCTATCCATCCTTACGAGACCATCACGACAATCCTTATGGCTGAGTAAACCAATCTCAAAGTTCCATCGGTTTGCCAAGAAAATGGTTACGTCGGTGGTTTGGAGTATATCTGCTGTTACTATACGACGTGCAGCCGTCGATGTCGTTGTATGTAGATGTACAGGGGACAGTGGAAAGATTATACTTTAGATGTGCATTTTGATGATCGAATAAAGTGCTGATTATAAAGATCAGAACGTCACCGAGACAATAACGTCATTTCACGAATTGGTCGCATGAAACTACACATGTATGACCAATTGGTGTTAATAAAAAGAGATACGACATGTGTCAATTGCAATTTCGTGAGGCGACAGTCTTACAATTCACGTATACTAAGAAGATCATCCCCTGGACGCAGTAAACTTGACTATGACACGCCAATATATTCCCAATACTTTTTCTTAACAGCGATTTATTAATTTGAAGATTGAAATTAGTCTCGATCTAGCCTTTACAAAAAAAAAAAAAAAAAAAAAAACGACCAATGCACGCTGCTGTCTTTTACAGGGACTTATCAGTTTTGAAAGAGAAACCTCCCGATGCTGTCGCAGACGTGTTGTTGTCATTGAAGAACGCTGTGGTGCGTCCAAGCAACACATTACCACCGATACACCCACAGTGTAACCCGCCGCCACCCCAGCGAACTATAATTAATACAACAAATAACACATCTGATAGTTTAGGTGAGTAGATATCACAATATAACTGTGGATCCAGCATAGCCTGCTGTATAATATTGAAAAATACTTGTGTTTGGTCGTCGATGTATGCAAGCTTTTGGATCTGCCGGGGTGTTTCATCTTTTGAAAAAGTAAATGTGTATATGGAAACAAACTTGTGTATACACGTAGTCTTGCTGGGTTTGGTTTTTCAGTTTTAAGTCCGACAAAGCTCTACATTCGGCTTCTGTGGATGAAAATAATTCTTGGAAAGCGAGAAAAAGCATTCTTCATGCATTCACAAAATCATTCTTCCTGGAGGTGGTCAACAAAAAGCATCCCAAGCTATAAACAAATTGTTATCTTAGCAAAAAACGGCATGTAACATACATGTACATAAAAATCAAAAAAATTGTCTTGTCCGTAAAAGGGTAGAAATTTTCGCATTTTGGCTGGACATGGGGTGAGATATACACGTACTAGTACCAGGCACACCCCTAACATTTTGTCAGAGGCAATTGATGCGACTTCAATATAATAGCAAACCCGAAACAGGATACCTGGTTCCGGGTGGTAAAAAAAACAGAATAATTCTCGGGTGTTGAAATCATTCTGCACAACCTTATTCTAACACAGAAACATTTTCAAACGAACTTTCCCTTTTTTCAGGTAATATGCAACATCACCAGGAGCCGCATTATTACAATACCCAATGTCACAATCCTTACCAGAATCCCGATCATGTGTCGGACCATGGAACAACTGACGCTGCTCTCCAACGTAGCCATACACACACTCACACCCATTCCCATTCACACACTCAACATTTCCAACCAAACAACACCGTATATCATCATCATCGTCATCATCCACACCACCACCAGGCGAGCATGTCAATAGCACCACCTCAAGACACACAGCTGCAGTACGTACCCATCCAGGTATGTGCGTATATTTCAAATCACGCATTTTACGAGAATTCGTCTTTCGAGATAAAAAAAAATAGACCATAAACTTTGTCACCGTTCTAACATGTATTTTATTTATTGTTCCATAGGAACACGGCATGTTGGATAAAGGACAGCAATACAGTAATTTCCATGGTAACATGAACTACCAAGAAAGCTATAACATGGATTATTGTAACATGTATAGAAATAACCCTACACCGCCAGCAATAAAACATTACAACCATGACAACGACGAGGACGACCAGACACATGTCTACACTATGTATAATAATCAATGGAAGAAGCATAACAAGGCAGAAAAAAGAACTTACAGAACACGGTGTAGAAGTGAATATAATAAAGGTAGGAGCATTGTACATACTTACGCCTATTTATACTACATCGTGTTATGGTGCGTTGCGTGTGAACGCGACTAACACCCTATCGGCAGAAATTTTTCGGCTTTTTATGAAGATCTTCACTGGAACTGGTTCTTCAAAGTTCTGAAAACAAAAGCGTAAAGTACCCGAACCACCTGTTGATTTGAGTTGTATGCATTTTGATCCTTTTTTCTATTACAAAAATGACTGTAAGCGTACTAGTAGCACCCAACGCTATATGGAAATCACAAAAGTCATTGTTTCTATGGAAACAAGTTCGCATATCGCTTTTTAATTATTTGCTCTTTATCATTTATTTGATGGGATCTTTCGCTGAGTAAGTATGTATGTATGTTTGCGTTGTGTCACACTGTGCTAGGTTGTAGTGCGCTGCACTGCTTTACGGCATCTTGAAACACACCGGATGGTGCAGTATTGCGGTACATATATTAGTTTATCTGCAAGCATTGCAGTGACTCTCATTGTTACATTGAAGTTATGAGCTTGTTGAAAATCTTGCTCTGTGTTGTGTTGTCATTGTCCTTTGTTGTACTCTATTGCTCTACAATTGATTGGTGACCGTGGGCGTACGCGACACAATCCAAACTTGAACAGACAATTTTAGTCCAATTTTGTAGTGTGTCTCGCCTTGCCTGTAGACACCGGGCGCCGACAAAATAAACGGAAATTCATTTTAACCACTATTAATAGCCACATATTCAAATATGCCACATGCTTCGATCAACTCAAGCAGTGATCGCTCTCTCCAAAAAATAAACATCCCAAGTTTTACAACTCCGTCTCAATATTCCATATAACATACATGTGTTGAACTCATCTGTCTACCCTCCCATAATTAACGCTCCGTTGTATTTGCCTGAATAATTTCACCTCATTCATTTTCTTCTGTAGGTTCCAATCTTTGTCGATTATGTGGTAAAACATACGCTCGCCCAAGTACGTTAAAGACTCATCTGCGAACCCACTCCGGTGAGAAACCTTATCGTTGTTCAACTTGTGATAAAGCGTTCTCCCAGGCAGCCAACTTGACTGCGCATGTCCGAACTCATAGCGGCGAGAAGCCTTTCAAGTGCATGATTTGTCATCGAAGTTTTTCACAGGTGAGTCAAAGCCAAGGTCACGTTGATCAGACGGAATCCCTATCACGACAACTGTATCGGACAAATCGGAGTTCTAGTGGTGTCCTCTCAAATTGTGGATGATAATCTCACTAAGAATATGTAAAATCACAGTTTAAATAATGTTATCGCCGGTACTATCGACACTCGCTCGTTAGTATATTTTTTGTATTTTGTGCTATCATCATTATCAGATTGGACGGCCTATTGTGAAACCATTTATTTTCACTGTCATATACAATTCGTCTTTTAAGCAGAAAAACTTTATTTTACATGTTCACGTGAATTTTATTTAGTAGTTTGTACTTGTGAGCAAAAATAACGAAACCCGGTGAATAATTAATGCATTCACAGTATGACGTCACTCTATGTGCTAATAAAGATATATAAATAAATCATAACACATGTATTTTAAAATTGTGGTTTTTTACTTGTTTTTACAGAGTTCATCGGTGACAACCCACATGCGAACACATTCCGGGGAGCGACCTTATAAGTGCGCTCTATGTAAGAAAGCGTTCGCCGACAGCTCCACGCTCACCAAACATTTGCGAATACATAGCGGTGAGAAACCGTACCAATGTAAACTGTGCATGCTAAGGTTCTCACAGTCCGGTAATCTGAATAGGCATATGAGAGTCCATAGCAGTCTTTAAATCATTACGTAATTGCAGCCCGGTAATCTGAATCGGCATATGAGAGTCCATAGCAGTCTTTAAATCATTACGTAATTGCAGCCCGGTAATCTGAATCGGCATATGAGATTCCATAGCAGTCTTTAAATCATTACGTAATTGCAGCCCGGTAATCTGAATCGGCATATGAGATTCCATAGCAGTCTTTAAATCATTAAGTAATTGCAGCCCGGTAATGTGAATCGACATATGAGATTACATAGCAGTCTTTAAATCATTACGTAATTGCAGCCCGGTAATCTGAATCGGCTTATGAGATTCCATAGCAATCTTTAAATCATTACGTAATTGCATCCCGGTAATCTGAATCAGCATATGAGAGTACATAGCAGTCTTTAAACCATACGTAATTGCAGCCCGGTAATGTGAATCGGTACTTATGAGATTCCATAGCAGTCTTTAAATCATTACGTAATTGCAGCCCGGTAATCTGAATCGACATATGAGATTCCATAGCAGTCTTTAAGTAATTGCAGCCCGGTAATGTGAATCGACATATGAGATTCCATAGCAGTCTTTAAATCATTACGTAATTGCAGCCCGGTAATATGAATCGACATATGAAATTCCATAGCAGGCTTTAAATCATTATGTAACTGCAGAATAAACCGTTTTGATTTGTCGACATCTATTTGACGTTGGACGAATAGTTTTATTCAATTTATACACAATGCAATTAAAGATTAAAATCAATGACGTCATTAATTATACCCAATGACGAAGTTACAACTATATTTATGACCATTATTCTTTATTTATTATGACTTGGTTAGAAATAATTATTTAATAATTATTATATTTTTCAAATGTTTTGTTCATATTTGTTATATTTTATTGGAATATTGTCATTTGTTTGTAGATTATGATAGATATGTAATATAATTATGTTGTTATTTTGCATTATGTGTTATTTCTGAATTAATTTCAAAATGTCGATAAAGAAAACTATTTCTTTGTTTTACGTAAGTTAATTTTAAGAAATTAACGTGTTTAAAATGCTGATAAAGTATTTTATATGCTATTATTTATTGTTACTATATTGTTCATTGCCACGGTGTTACAAGAAGACATACAGAAATGTCTATAATTCAACATATAAACTGGTTTGTTGAGACTTCGTGCCCTTGTATTTATTGTCATTACCAAACCATGTTAACTGAAGTTGTTGGTTGCAATAAACAGGAAAAACAACGATATTTAGCTCCGGTTGAGTTTTGTTTTTAAAAAATAAAAACATTTAAAACATATGTGTTTCAATATCGTCATGGTATCTCCTAATATAGCTGAACCGACCATGTGGGACACTTTTGATAAATGAACATGCCTTGTAATACCGACTGGAATACGTAATCGCCTTAATGACGCGTCATTAGAACGTCATAATGGTGCTTTGTTTTGTTTTGTTTTTCTTTTGATCTTTTCCCGAAAAACACCAATGGATGTAGTAGAAACGTTTATTGAAAAAAATGTCGGGTATTCAATCTTCATTGAAACTTACAAAGCTACCACCCACTTAGCTAATTTGCATTGTCTGTGTAATGCATTGCGGTAACGCCTTAATTAGCTTTTAACGTCTCCTGCATCTGCTATGTTCATATCCACCACGTCAGTAGAGCAAAACAAATATAGTCAGTTACCCGGAGAAAAAAATAACTTCCAGCTTGAAACTATAAAGAGTGTTAAAAAAATATCTACACTAGTTTTATTTCTCCCGCCATGCATATTATTATTTCATCTGATCGTTTTGATAAATACACGCCCGATGCTCACTTAGTAGTGTTTGTAAATACGACACTGTCCATGAGGCTACAGGCGAAGCTATTGTTTTGATTTGGCTTTTTGGCGCTACCGTGTAATCGGTTCCTACTCACGGTAGTGGGAACAACAAGTACAACCTGCATTAAGCGTGTCTATTTTGTAAGTGCTCCGCCGAGGATATACTCGTATTAATCAAGTGCCTCATAAATACCACTGACTTCATTAAACCAACATTTGGAGGGTATTTCTTTTGCCAGTTTTGGCGTCTTTGTTACGTTTAGACCGTTATTGTAACTTGACTGGAGCTGGCGCCTATACAACAACCGCCTTTACAAACTCCCGCGTAATTGAGTATACGAAGTGTTCGCGCGTTGATTAGTTACTTGTCGATATACGCTATACTACGATTGAGAGAGAAAAATGCGATAGCGTGAAAAAAACTCACTGTATCTGCTTAAAAATTGAAACAAAATTTGGACTATATCCGCGAATAGAAGGATCTATCCATATGTTGCCTAGAATGGGCTTATAATTGTAATTGGCTAGGCCATCCCATTGTTACCATGGTAATTGCGATGGTAATTGGTTGATGTTGTTGTTACTCTCAACTGGTGGCCACGTCTATTGATAACCGAACGCGTCCAAATTAATCAAAACCGGCCCTCGTTCGCTCATCGGGTAAAATGCTCCTGTTGTCGAGATTGGGTGGAGTCGCCTCGGGGCACGTCGCATAATAGGAATACAAGACTACATTGTACGTGGGACAAACAGTGGTAAACGCAATTTACTATAACCTACCCGTTTTTTTTGTTAAACACGGCACTTCTTTCTATTCGTATTCGTTCTTAATTATTCAAAACTTCCCAACTGTTTAAAAACTACTGAGTGAATTCGAAAGCAAATTGGAATGGTTAAGTCACCTGACCTTTTACATTAGTCACGTGTTAAACATCGTCCAATTAGTACTATTATCGTGAGTGCTTGTCGATGAGTGTTACTCGAAGCGATGTACGTGTAAACGGTAAGAGGACGGAAATTTGATAAAATAAGATAACAAGTAGAAATTCCATAATTTCTTCAAAAAGTGGTTCAGTATATTCGTAGTGCATATATATATTTTATTTTTAAATTACACGTTTCTGTAAATTGTACAAAATTATAATTGATTTATTCTATGGTTTTTTAAAATTTGGTTTGTGAGATGTGACGTTGTGTTCACTCATGACGATCTGCTATTTACACAAACAACTGGAATTTAGGCGAACTAAGGTTAAACACAACTAAATACTATTTTTTTTTTCTATATAGATGTTTCTGTAACTTTCCCGGTAGAATTTTTTCCTTCAAAATTCATGATTTTCTTTGTGCAAAGGACCAATACCACTTCTCCCAGACAAACAGAATCTGATCGCATGGGTATCAGTCTTTAGAATTAACAATATCCTTGCTATTTTGCTAGTGTATCATAAAACTGCGCAACTGAGAATGGGGGGACTGCGTTTTTAGTAAGGGCGAGACGATTGCACGTGGCCACGTACGCAGTGTATAATACAAATGGGAATGACATTCGATACATGTATTTCCAGGCGGCGTGGCGCTGATAAAATTGGTTTTTCGCATTGTTAATAGTAATAATTACATTCTTCCGCCGTCAAATATTTCTTTTTTAAGCTTTCTTTCGTATTTTGACGATTTTAAACGAGCTGATAACCACATTTCCTATTCGTAATTACACGTACACTACGCCTCGTAACCTCTAGGGTAAGCATGTTGCCGAGTGGTCGCTCCAAGACAAATCTATTCCAATTTCAAGCCCGGGTTTAGTGACGAACACCATTTATGGTTCTAATATTATTGCTAGGCGTGTGATGGTGGCCAGGTTGGAGTAAACAAAATCAAACGGGGAATCAGACGAAGAATAGCTACCCTTATGAGAACAGACGCATTGCAATTTAATACGGAAGTTGAAGAAA